CAAGTCCTCTAACTCCTTCCAATATACCATCTACCACAAGCCACCACACTAAAAACAACAACAACAAAAAGCTGAATTTCAGGTTCTGAAGCAGAGGAGTAAACTCTTCTTGGAAGATATAGAGTAAGAGTGGGCTCATTCTCTCAGGTCACAGTAAGAGGGTATTTAATTTTTTTCATTAATGTATATTTTGTGAATGCATTTCTAAAGAAGAAATTTATTCAAGAAGGATGCACTTAGGGACATCTAAGAACCATGGATTATACCTCATTGGTGACATACTCAGAATGAAATAGACTCCTTTCATTCTAACCTGGAGCTCAGAATTGGAGAATCAGGCAAAAACTTATGATTTAAAGCCTCTCTATTATCTGGAGTGAATAGAGACTAGCTAAACTCCCTCTTAGGTCACTTTAAGTCATTTCTTGTATTGTCTTTCAAATTGTCGGGGAATAGCAGTTCACCATTTTATGTGTGTGAATCACTAACGTTTGAAAGATATATCTTCTCTTAGTCTTTGCTCCTTTAAGAGAAATAATCCTTATTGCTCTAGGCTTCCCAATTTATATCATTCTCCCAATATTTTTTATACTTTTTTGGCTCTTTTCTTAGTATTCTTTATTTTCTTCACATTCTTAAACTGAAGTATCTAAAAGCTTGTCTAGACAATAATTATTTCAATGTTTTTGTTTCTGCTAAGTCAGATTTATAAGAATTTAAATGTTTCCCAAAATTAAACCGACAGCTATGGAATAGACAAAGAATTAGAAATTATTGACCTTAACCTCAAAGGACTGATCACTGCGTATAGGCAGCAGGATGCACATAAACCCCTAATGTTCCAAGAATAATATCACAGTTTGTAATTCACACTCCAGGTTGTGGGACGGAGTCTTGAAGCGCATTAGAAATTTGGGAAAGCAATAGAGCACTACAGACTCAGGAGGGACTCACGAACACTAATGAATACAGAATGAGCCTTAAAGAGGACTGAGGATTTGGAGGGAAAGAATAGGAATATGGAAGGAGGCGGACATGGGAGAAGGCTGGAATCTGAAGATCTAGAACAAAGGTTTATGCAGAAAGTACATCCAAGATGCTTTTTAAAGAAAATCTTTTTCCCCCGAAAGCCTTATATTTATGTTGACAGTTATTCCGTCCATTATAGATATCATCTAGATGGGTAAAAGATACCATCTTTTCTCTCCCAAAGATGACCATATTATAAATTGATCCTTTTGTCTTCTATAATTAATGAAAACAATGTTGAATCTTAATTCTATCTGTGCGATAGATATTTAATTCTATCAGTATTTTGGTAAATAGTATACATGGGACATTGGGGCCTAGTCATCATACAGTCACCTCAAATTATAGAAATTTAATAGGCCTAGAACATGGTAGGGACTCAATAAATGTTTATTGAATCAATGAAAGAAAAAAAGAAAGAAAAAAGGATGGAGTTTAGAAATATTATTTATCATTAATTTTTTAGAAGTTAGGTGAGCAGTTATTTAAATGATAACTTAATTAGTATTTAGAATCCTACCCTGAGCTTTAAGTTATAATTTATCAGGCCTTCACAAATATAGGGTACACAACTGATATATTTTTACTTTCTTTTTTCTTTTTCAGACGAATTCATCTTCATCTTTTAGAAAAAAGATGAAGAACCCAAGTATGGTTCTTCATCCTTTTCTTTCTTTTTTTTTTTTTTAGAATCAGAGTTGGTTTTTTTTTTTTTTTTTTTTTTCACAGATAGTGGTCTTGCTGTGTTGCCCAGGCTGGTCTTAAACTCCTGGCCTCAAGCAATTCTCCCACCTTGCAGCCTCTCAAAGTGCTAGGATTACAGGGGTAAGCCACTGCGCACAGTGAAGTTCCTGAAATTTTCAATAGGTAACAGGAGTTATAAGTAGTACCATTGTTTCTTCCAGGAATAGCCCAAATTTGAAATATCAAAGGATAACTCAAAAGTAATAAAAGGAAGACAGCAGTAATTTGGTTCTCTCTTATAATGCTCTAAAGGAAATAAAACAGAATTCCAGGAAACATTTATAATCATCTAAATGAGCTACTGACTTTATGCAAACCTTTCTGATCTTTCAGAGGTAAAGAAGGGAGTAGAACAAAGAATGTGAGAAGATATAAGTAGTTATTTACAATAACAAACTCCTTTCTCTCAGTGGTAAATCACTGTGGAGCAGGAATGGACTGAAATCCTTTGCATAAGCAAGAGCTGAGTAAGATAAACATTTTAGACACTGCCAGAGATTTGGAGACTTCTCAGCATTCCAGACTCCTCAGTGTTGTTGCATATTGTGAGAAAAGGGCCACCAGCCTTGAAGCCAAAATGGCCTGTTCTCAGGGTGACTCCTGCCCTAAGGGCGGTATAGTCTTGGGCGAGTCACTTAACCCTTATGAGTCTTTCTTCATCTGCAAAATAGGGATAATGATAATTGTATCTCCTTCATAGGATGGTTGTATGGATAAAACAGTATCTGCAAAAAGCCTGAGTACTTCCTACATATTAGTAGTTCAATACATTTTAACTCTTATTAATTCTTTTTTGTTTGTTTGTTTTGAGATGGAGTTTCACTCTTGTTGCCCAGGCTGGAGTGCAGTGGCATGATCTCGGCTCACTGCAACCTCTGCCTCCTGGGTTCAAGTGATTCTCCTGCCTCCGCCTCCCAGTTAGCTGGGATTACAGGCTTGCACCACCACACCCGGCTAATTTTGTATTTTTTTAGTAGAGACGGGGTTTCACCATGTTGGTCAGGCTGGTCTCGAACCCCTGACCTCAAGTGATTTACCCACCTCAGCCTCCCAAAGTGCTGGGATTACAGGCATGAGCCACCGCACCCGGCCTCTTATTAATTCTTATGCAACTATAATGGGCTCAGTCTCCCCACTCCATTCTGTTAGGTAGAAATCAAATCTGACCTCACCTTACCATGGCAGAGACAGAAAACGCTTTCTTATTTTAGGTGAAAAGAATCAAATTAATCTGATCACTCCAAACAGAACCATTCTTATGTAACATGTACATGTGAAGGAATTAAGCTAGAGCCAAGTCTCAGTGATCAAATACAACAAAATAAGAAATCCCTGGGATGGGGAGGGACAAGTTTTTGTTCCCAATTCTGTCTTAGGTTTCAGCTCCTCACCTCACCTTTGGGCACCCCCAGTCTGCACTCTCATTCTCCCACAGTCTACCAGTCTTTTCTTCACAGCTACCACACAGCAGCTTATTCAGGGTTTCTGAGTTTTTCAGAAGTTCTTGTTGAAATATTTCAGAATCAGGAAATATCTAGAATTTCATACAAATGATTCTATATAACTTAAAGGGCAGACTCTCTCCCCTACACTTAGATCATGTCTATCAATGACACATATGTAGATAGTATTGGATCTGTCCGGAGAAGTACAGCATTGTAAATGGAAATGTTGCTTTAAGAAATTTCAAAATACGTTAACATATACACAGAACAAAGAACAAAGGGAAAGAATTTTGGTCTTTGTGTTAGAATAAGAAAAGCTCCTTTTATTTTTAGTTATGAAAGATTATTATAAACCTTAAAACTTAAAATATGCCTTAAAAATCTGCAGTATTGCAAGAGTAAGCTTTTTAAAAATCTTAAATCTATGTAGTATGTAACTATTGGTAAAATCTACTTTGCAGCGTGGAAAAAAAAAATCTGGAGTGGAGTAGGTCCAGAGACACTGTTTTAGTACCTTTGAAATGTTTGTAGCCACAGAAATAGTTCTAAATACAGCAATGTTAAAACTGTTCAAAGGTTGGGCTTCCTATTTGTATAGTACAAATACAGAACAATTTGCAGATGGATCCTTTAACTTTTTTGGATTATGGATGTAATGGTGTTGAGGGAGAAACCTTGAGTCACAAACACTTAAAATCAATAACCTTTTTCAATGGCCAGGCTTAGGTAACTTAGTGAAGTAGTATAAATTTGTCTCTTTAAGACTGTTCTAGAGGCCAGGCGTGGTGGCTTATGCCTGTAATCCCAGCACTTTGGGAGGCCAAGGCAGGCAGATCACTTGAACCCAGGAGTTGGGAGACCAGGCTGGGCAACATGGCGAAACTCTGTCTCTATAAAAAATACAAAGGTTAGCCAGGCATAGTGGTGCACACTCATAGTCCCAGCTACTTGGGAGGCTGAGACAGGAAGATTGCTTGAGGCTGGGCGGCGGAGGTCACAGTGAGCTGTGATCGTGTCACTGGACCCCAGGCCAGGCGACAGAGTGAGACCCTGTCTCAAAAAAAAAACAAAAAACAAAAAACAAAAACCAGTTCCAGCTTGTATTCCTGTAAGTAACCTCCTCATGTCCACTCCCATTTTGTAATTTTATCCCTGACCCCAGGGTCTTACGACTTCTCTTCGGGATATTCACATGATAAATCACTGACCAGGGTAAATTAGCTTGTGCTCAACCTCTTGCACAGGAGTCTTTGCATTAAGATAAAATATGATTAAAAGGAAGTACCCCACCCTCAAGAAATCCATCTCTAATGGTAAAATTTCAGATACCACAGTGTTTTAATAGGGAATTATTTGGATTAGGGAAGTTTTTCTAGTACAGGACTAGAACTAGAAGGATATTAGTAGTAATATTTGCCTTCTACTCTATTTCTCAAATTTTGGTTATGAGATCATTTGTGCTATAATCACCAAAGATACCTCCTTAAAAAACAAAACAAAACAATGGATTTTTAGGCCCAATTCCAGAATGACTAAATCAGAATCTCTGGGAGTGAGGAGCTTATAATTTAGAAAGAGTAAGGGGATACAGATGGGTAAACAAATACAAGGTGAGGACTATTATCCCAGTTTTGGAAATCATCAGATTATACCTTGAACAAAAGCTTAAGGTTTCCATGCACAACCTGGCCTACCAGTATTTCTTGTGCTCTATTAAAGTAGAAATTTTATTTTAAATTGTTGGTAACATATAAGGAACATAACTTCATCTTTTGGTCTTACCAGGCACTCCAGCTTGGATCCAAAAGTTGATGTCTGTCCCTTCTCCATGGCTCAGGACCTGAGTGATATTGAGGGGCTGCAGCAGGCTCATAACCTCCTCCATGATGGCCCTGGCCTTTTCACTGCCAGTGAATTGCAGCCCAGTGGGTAAGAAGGTTCCCGTGTCAGACTCCATCACTAGGCTGTAGTTGGATATATTTACCTAAACACAAGAGAAAGTTGTTTGATTTTTATCTGTTGCTTCTGTGTTTTCTCCTTGGGAACTATCAAACAACAATTACCAAATACTTTACCTCCTCACGGCTGTGCCAAAGCACATGTTGCTGTGCCTGACTTAGGGTCTGGTCTGCATATTATCTAACCATTCTGAGATGCACAATTACTCAGCCTAGGATTTGCCAAACTCAAGAGTTGGCTGGAAAGGATTAAAAAAATATAATGAAGGGAAATATAAAGCCCCATATCAAAGATGTTCAGTTATTTCTACTAGCAATAATATTCTTTCAACTAATTTTCTTAAGTATTCACTGTGTTCTGGTATACAATTCCTCCTATGTGGCAGGGACCTCCAGATAGTATTAGCCATGCTCAGAAAAAAGAAGGTATGCTCTGTGAACTTATTTCTTTGCACCTCTTCCCTCTAAATAGATATTCTATCTTATCTTAATTGTGAGTTCTGCCAAAGCTTAAAGACATCAAGCTGACAGGTTTGTCTTGGGGTTCTGATTTTGTTGTTGTTCCATATGTTAAATCCCCAGGGAGGGAGGCAATACAACAAGGCATGAAACACTGCTATCCCTGGTGTAAAACCGCAGTACTCTAATTCCAGGCAACTCTGCCAGGCCACTAGTTCATAAACTCTTTCCAAATAAAGTCTGGTAAGAAAGCACACAGTTATTTCATGTAGCCAATATTGTCACAGCATGAACTTAGAATATAATAGACTCTTGACAGGTTGCACAGTTAAATTGCTACCCAGCCCTAAAACTTGGAACTTTAAGATCCTTCAAACTGGCCAGCTCATCTATTTCCGAGGAGCCATCCACATCTTTAAGACTTACCAACTGCCACCTTGGTTGACTTATTCCCAAGCTATCCTTGGACAAACACTGCTACTCATTCCTCATTACTCACCTAGTAAAAAATCAATAACAACATTTGTACATTGCGTCCAGAGAGCTTTCACATTTGCAGTCTCCTTTGGTGTTCTTTGGCCACTCATAAAATAGACAAAGCAGTATTATTAATGTTGCTGTTTTATAGGAAAGGATCTGACAATCAGAGAGGTCAAGTGATTTGCTCAATGTTATACAGCTGGCAAATGGTAGCGCTGGCTCTGAAACTCCCTGCTTTCCAAGACTCCACACTACCTAGCATGGCACTGAAGGGTAAGCAATACTTATTCTGCATTTAGAATGATTTTCCACTTACATAACAATTTGGGGATTGCGTAGCATTTTTTCTCTAAAACAGATTCCATTTTACAATGATTGCCTAACCTTTTGCTCTTAAAGTGTGTTGTAGTTACAAGGGCAAGAGCAGTGACAGGTTCTAGAGAAAGATGTTGCTGGCATTTACAGCCCTGAGACACCAACAATTTTTGTTATTGTTAATGATGAGAAGGTTAATGATGCAGAAGTCTGTTCATATTTCTGTATATGAACAAGTCTAAGGGACTTGTCTTCATGGTGATTTTTAGTGAAAGACCCAAAGCATTTATAATAAAAAGTGCCACCTCAGCTTTCAGCTGAGGTTACTGCATTATGGTAGCATCATTAGAGTTAATGATATGCAAAATATTTGCATTAATGTCTTACATTCAGGGCTCGTTTAACTAGTATATTGATGCTAAGTCAGCAGGTTGACATGTAATTTGGCAGTCCTAAGCCTCTTCCCTTGTATGCCCTGCCATACCCACAACCCTAAACTGTTTCCCTCTCCTGCAAAAAGAAGAAAAGAAAGTTCATAATATATCTTGCAAATGAAAACAGAATTGAGCAATCTTGTTTGTGAGAGTTTCCCTATTGCAGGCAGATCCCATTCTTCCAACAAGAAAATCAGGCAAAGTGCTTCTAATCATGTACTATGTATGTTAAAATTGGAGCTACATGATAGGAAGAATCAATATCCTTAAAATGGCCATACTGCCCAAAACAATTTACAGATTCAATGCTGTTCCTATCAAACTACCTATGACATTCTTCACGGAACTAGAAAAAACTATTTTAAATTCATATGGAATCCCAAAATAGCCCAAATAGCCAAGGCAATCATAAGCAAAAAGAACAAAGCTGGAGGCAACTTCAAATTATACTACAGGATTATGGTAACCAAAACAGCATGGTACTGGTACAAAAAATAGACACAAAGACGAATGGAACAGAGTAGAGAGCCCAGAAATAAGGCTGAACACCTACAAGTATTTGATCTTTGACAAAGCTGACAATAAAAGCAATGGGGAAATGGTTCTCCATTTAATAAAGAATGCTGGGATAACTGACTAGCCATACGCAGAAGTTGAAACTGGACCCCTTCTCTACACCATATACAAAAATCAACTAAAGATTGATTAAAGACTTAAATGTAAAGCCCAAAACTATAGAAACCCAGAAGACAACCTAGGCATACCATTCTGGACATAGGAACTAGCAAAGATTTCATGACAAAGATGCCAAAAGCAATCGCAACAAAAGCAAAAATTGACAGATGGAACTTAATTAAGAGTTTCTGTACTGCAAAAAAAACTATCAACAGAGTAAACAGACAACCTACAGAACGGGAGAAAAGTTTTGCAAACTATGCATCTGACAAAGGTCTAATATCCAGCATCTGTAAGGAACTTAACAATTTACAAGAGAAAAACAACCCCATTAAAAAGTGACATGAACAGAGGCTTCTCAGTAGAAGACATACATGTGGCCAATAAGCATATGAAAAAAAGCTCAATATCACTGACCATTAGAGAAATGCAAATCAAAACCACAATGAGATACCATCTCACACCAGTCGGAATGGCTATTATCAAAAACTAAAAAAATACACGCTGGTGAGGCTGAGGAGAAGAGGGAACACTTATACAATGTTGATGGGAGCGTAGATTAGTTCAACCATTGTGGAAAGTAGTGTGGCAACTCCTCAAAGACCTAGAGACAGAATTACCATTCAACCCAGCAACCCCATTACTGTGTATATACCAGTAAAGGGGGAATAGAAATCATTCTGTATTATAAAGACACATGCATGTGTATGTTCACTGAAGCACTATTCACAATAGCAAAGACATGGAATCAACCTAAATGCCCATCAATGATAGACTGGGTAAAGGAAATGTGGTATATACACACCATGGAATACTATGCAACCACAAAAATAATGAGATCATCTCCTTTGCGGGGACGTGGATGGAGATGGAGGCCATTATCCTTAGCAAACTAACACAGAAATGGAAAACCGAACACTGCATGTTCTCACTTATAAGTGGGAGTTAAATGGTGAGAACACATGGACAGACAGAGGGAAACAACACACACTTGGACCTACCAGAGGGTGGACAGTGGAAGGAGGGAGAGGATCAGGAAAAATAACTAATGGGTACTAGGCTTAATACCTAGGAGAGAAAATAATCTGTACAACAGACTCTCATGATGCAAGTTTTCCTGTGTAACAAACCTGCACATGTACCCTTGAACTTAAAATAAAAGTTTGTAAACAGTGGAGCTAGTTAGCAGTTTGGCTATTAGACCCAACATTAATGAGCAGCCTGGTGAGTTGGACACCACCCTGGGCTCAGTCTATTGTATTCCTGACTGAGCAACTGATACACTGGGCTTCCAAGGCGGGTGAATGGCCTCTCCCTCTGTCCCCAAGTCATGTTACCTTGGTCCTTGGCTTCTGCATCTGTAGGTTGGGACAAAAGCTTGAATAATGAGCCTGTCCATATGAAGCTTCAAGCACCTTTAAAGAAAGGCCTTTAAAGCAAAGAGAAAGTGGATGCATGAATGGAAAACTAGGGCTTCTAATAATGTGTTCATTAAGTGCTTCCTGGTCCTCTTTAACTACAAATGTACAGATGTCCTTGGGACAGGGGGCTTCGCAGTTTGTGAATGCCATTGTGCAGTGTCACAGGATGTTGACAGGAACGTAGAGAATAGTGTAAATAAAGAAGGTTTCAAAGGTGCCCTCAGCTATATATGTGGCAGCCATTTTAGCGGAGAGATCAAGAGTGTAAGCTTCTGAATGATCCAGACTAGGTTTGACCCTCACATCAACCCATTTGTAGCTGTAATGGGGATGATAATGGTACCCAGCTCATGGAATTGTCAAAACAGTACATTGTAAAGGTTAGGGCATAACTAGCACTTGGTAAACAGTAGCATTACTGTTGTTACTGTTCTTGGCACTGAGCATCAACACTTCTCAGATTTTCAAGGATGGTCCCAATATAAGCCCTTTTGTTAGCTGATTACAACGATGGTAGACAGCATTTCTGCGATGTTTCTTATGAGCCAGACACTATGTGTAACGTCTTACAGCTCATCCCATGAGTGTGCACAATCATTGCATCAGTGCTCTCATATTTCTCATCTCACAGATGAAGGAACAGGTTTAATCAGGTTGACTAACTTTCCCACGGTTACCTTGCTAGTTAAGTGGTGCAGCCAGAATTCCAACCCAGAGGAATTCCTTCCACCTCCTCAGCAGTGCTCACAACCTCTCTACTGCTGGGTCTCCTGAAAGACACTTCTGTCAGGCTACAAGTCCTCATTTTTAATTCAGAAATACAAAGACTTAGTTAAATGCATAGATTAAAAACTTTTTTTTCATGATTGTAACACAAGGTATACTTGGACAGAAGTTATTCCTGCTAACAAAGTAATTTGTTTAAGCCAAGAAAGAAATGAAAACAGAAACAAAAATCTCCTGCTCCACAATTTGCTTCCAACTAGAACTAAAAAGAGTAAAATAATAAAACATCTTTTCAAGCCAAATAAGACAGGATGTGTAGATATCAGTAAACCAGAATTCTGGCATAGGTATAGAAATGTTTGATTTCTATTCGTGTAGAACATTTTTAGTTGCTGCTTACATGACGGCAGCGTTCTATTGTTTTCTATTTATATATAAACATCTCCATATGTTTTCAATGAAGAACTAAGAAAACAAACCACCCACCATCCATGACACTGCTTTTTCTCTACATTT